CCATCAGATCTCGCGAAGTTCTTTGCCACGCTGAATGCCATGGCGTCGGTAACTTCCCTTAGTGCTCTCCAAAGCTTCTCCACCCAAACACTGCAGTGACTTGAGTCAATGCCCACTGTCTGATACTCAAACCCCAGCCCTGACCATAGAAAAGAAAGGCTCATCCTACAGCTTCCCTCTAACCATCGGAGGGAAACCTGCCTGAGATGAGGCTACAGGTCAAATCCTTGGATTTTGATTTGATCCTTAAAGACCTGGAACTATAGCAATCTTCTGTTTTTCTGTCCAGACACCAAGCTATTCTTCCTCTCAGGGTCTATACTGAGCCATAGCAGGATGTGATGGGAAGTATCAGTATAGATGAGTATAGCTCGGGAAAAACAGACCTACAACAAGCACTATGCACTCTTTCCAAGAGCTCCCTGCTTGGGGCCTTCACTTGGTGCTACCAACTCAGACACCTTTACAGTGACTTCTCCTGCACAAAGGGAGAGATTCGAAATAATCCTGAGCATTATCTTCAACTGGGGGAGGCTTAGCATGACAAATTGCATGTCCACTATACTGAAAAGGTGTTGTGATTGCAGGTAGAGCTTCAGAACAGTGACCTTGCCCATCTCCTACTAAGCAGGACCTTGCATAAAATAGCTCCTAGTCTTCCCCAGATGAAAGCTGCTGGCTTTGCTGCCTGGTTCCAAGATACTCTACAAAACGTGTTGCACGCAGTGAATGAGAGGATTGTTGCAGAGATACCTGTCAATATTTCATGCGACTCCTATCAGCAAATGTGAGTCACCTGCTCCATGCACATTTATCTTAACTAAGCATTTCTAAGCATTTCATCTACGCTGTAGATGATTTTTCAACTTTCTGCCAATACATTCCCATATTCCTAAAGCAGAGTGTAATACTCCTACTGAAAAGCACAAGTAGCCACAGTAAAACACTCAGCATTTTCAGACTCGCATGCAAAATACACTGAAGCTCAACAAGATTTTAATTAGTCCAGCCTTAGCAATTCTGTGACCTTTATCTTAAGCAATTGAATCAAATAGAGAGCATACTTTTTTAAAAATAAAAATGGTCTCATCACATAGGTAAGCTATGTTCAGTCTGATTTGAAGATGCTTCGCAGTTACTTCTAAGAACCTCTCTGATAAGGTCTTACAATAACGAATAATTATGAAAGCGGTTGAAATTTTCCTAATAGAAAAGTTTTGTTAGTGAAAAAATCTGATTTGATTAAATTAAAATACTGCCCATGACCATTCCAACATTCCCTCCTGCAGGCTGAAGGGTTTCAACAAAATCTATGCTGGCATCCCCACAGAAAACATTCCCCATGTTTTTGGTTTCTGTAAAGCCTTCTTGACATCAAAAGTGAAATCAGGTAAGGGCATAAGTAGTCTTAATTTGGGAATGCACTTTGAAAGCTTTCCAGCACACTCTGGGCTTGAGAAGCAGCAGGAATTCCTGTAGTAATGTCTGCTCTTAATGACAAGAAAGGGAAAGAAAGCATATACTTACATTGTTGCTCCAACACTATGGTGTTTTCCCTCTTTCTGATGGGATTCTCACAAATCCTCCTCTATTTTGGATGGCTCACTAGAAAGTTTAACCATTTCCAGCCACAACATGATGTTGCCCAACACTGTTAAAGACAAACAAGCCCTAATTTAGACAACAGCACAAAAACATTATTACTTAATAATAAAGATTCTGGTCTCTCCCACACCAATTTGACTTCAAAGTATTCTGCTACCTGCAAAAGTTTAATGGGAATTTGCAAGAGCACCTAGGGTTTCCAGTCAGAACATCAGGAAGGAATATGTAGTCTCCAGCACTCCCAGTGTCATTATTTTTCCAGGTCTTGCATGTGGCAGCACAACCCAAAGTACTCAGAACTGGCTGGAAGTAAATCTTGGAAATTTTAGCAAATATGCTGAGTATCAGGACTTAGTTACTTGGAACAAACACTTTGTGGGAGTAAGTATTTTTAATATTTTTTTTTCCACTCGCATTCACTGTGAGAACTTGATGGAATCCCACCATGAAACACACTACTTTGCCAGCATTTGTGATGCCTTTATGCTCCAAACAGCATGGGAGGTGATGGGTCATTTTCCTTAAAAAAATACTCTGGCAATAGTGTTGAATCATCACAAACATTTTTACTGCTTTTCACTGCCTTGTGGCACTGGCAGAGCCACAGTAATATTCAGAAATGGGATACTACACTACTTTCCTGGTGGAAAAAGGACTTTACAAGTCCAGTAGATATTCCAGCCTTGCAGATTTGTCCTGAGTCTTATTAAAAGCACCAGCATTTACAAATCACTCTCACATGTTTAAAAAGGTTGCTGTCTGCTTTGTGTCCCTTTCCACAGATGGATGTCTTGGACAAGTTATCCCCATCACAACTAGCATCCCTGACACTTTCATCTGATGCCATTAATGAGGAAGAAGAGATGTGTCAGATCCTTGCAAAACTACACAACAAGCCATCAGAGGAAATCTATCAGTATTTAGACCAGTTCAACAGAGAGGCAGCCCAGGTAGGGGTATTAACACTGCAAGTTTGGCATAAACTCATGTAGCGTGGACTTCAGCTACGCAGAATCTTAAAGACACCCTCAAAGATGGTTTCTGAGCTTTTGTCTCAAAGTATAAACAACTGCAACAAAGCATATCATGTACAACCTCTCATCATGGCTTTCTGGCCCAAAGTATTCAAATGCCAATGCCCAGAACTTACTGGTTGAATGATACTCAAAGTGCATGCTCATGGCAACACCAAGGTTGTATGTATAGATGGTGCCTTCAGTGAGCCCTGGAGTGAGTCCCTGCACCATGTTCAGGGAGAACATTCTGAGACTCTCATAGCTACTCCTTGATGTTGGCTGCAGGTTCACAGGACATACCTAAGATGCATCTTCCCTTCTCTGGAAGTTCCTCAGAGTCCTTTTCTACAATGCTATTCCCCGTGGCTTTGCACTGGGGTCCCTTTTTAGTCCTGACTTCTCACTGATGCTCATTACTTCTCTCTTTCAGCTAGCAATAACCACGATTAAGAATAACAATGTGAGGAAAAAGATGCTCACTCAGTTTACAGGAGACATCGAGGCAGAACTTTCAGCTTTCAGCCCTGCTGAATGGACTCAATGGTTTGCAAGACTCGCTCTGCTACTGCCAAGTGCTGACAAGGAGGACACCAAACTCTTCCTGTCCCACATTTCTGGTTGTGACAATTTCAGAGCTCTGTAAGTACACAAGGGAAGTGTCCTCTTTTCTGTGTGCAAAATAAAAAAAAGGGGATTGACAGGAAAAGGCAAGGAATTGCCAGGGCAGCACTGTTCTGAAGAACATCTGTGAAAGAGTGTATCATTTAAAGAAATGTGCCATCAGGTACACAAAACTGCCAGGGTGAGATCCTCATTTGAATAAAACTATGCAAAAGCAAATAAAAACATTTGCTACTATAATACAAAGTCAATTATAACTTCTACTAAATAGATTTTACCTCTTTGTAAAATACTGCAACTAGGAACGGTAAAATGAAAAAATATCAGGAAGAGATGAGAGGAAATAATCCAGTTAATGAAACAGATTAAGCCAAGAAATAAACTCCAAAGGGCAGCACTGGAAGGAAACCGCACAGACAGTCATGTCTGGGCCAGGCAAAGCAGGGAAGATCACTCTGCCAACAACAGCCTTGCTTTGACCCAGGAAAGACATAGGAAAACAAACAGCAGGGTTGGGCCCATAATAGAAACTTCAAATTTGGTCTTGAATTTCCCTTTTCTGGCACAACTGTATTCTTACAGGCTGCCACAGCACAGCTCTGCTTTATGCATCTGTACAGGACTTGTGTATCTATAGCAAATGGTTCAGATCTAGCAGTTTGTATTGGCTATTCAGAAAACACTCTGAAATGAATTTGGCAACGCAGGGAGTGAGGCTTATTACCCATTTCATGAGCTGTTCAGGGGTTTAACAGATTCAGGAAGCACACAAAGAGATCACTAGGAGAGGCTGTACTGTCACAGTCTCTAAGGACTTCTGACAACAGCCTAGACTGACATCTGCACAGAGCTAATCCTGCCCTGGGGCACAGACCTCTCAAACTGCCCTTGGCAGCCCAGTCTTTCACATACAGATCACCGCCTGTAAGAAAGGAAGCAACTTGCTGTTTCATAAGGAGAAAGCTTTCCCTTCCTCTTCCTTTCTTTCATTTCATGAAACTGTTTCTGCTGGAGTTTCTCTCTCCCATCATGGCACCAGCTAGAAAGCAGGAATTAAGTCTTTCCCATGTGATTTCCCTCCACAGCGTGCTTCTCTCTCCCATCTATAGCATCATGGCACCAACTAGAAAGCAGGAATTAAATCTTTCCCATGTGATTTCCCTCCACAGCGTGTCCTCCTTGAGCCAGGCACACACGTCCCTGATGCCCATAAATCAGCAAGGCATCTGTAGCGCTTTGCTGACCTTCCTTGAAAGCCAACACACCATGACAGGTAACACGAGCCAAAATCTCAAATGGGTTCTCATCATTCCTGTGCACTCTAGCAAACCAGAGGGAAATTGAGCAACGCTCTCTTGTTCTCCTGTGCTGCAGGTTCTGCGTGTGCTTTGGGACAAGAAACAAGTCTGGACTGGTTGCAAAAGAACTTGGGGGCATTTGCGTCCAATGCTCGTTACGAAGATTTCATCAGATTAATGACAGATTTCAACGGGGTTAGTTTGTTTTCTGACTCAGACCTGAGAGCTTTGCCTTTGCTCAGGTCCTGCTGTGCTGCAGCTCTTTGCATGCACAAGGCTGAGCACACTCCTAGATGATCTAATCCAATAAACAGACATTGCTCCAGCCACAGCAGAGCTCTTCTTCCCAACGTGGGGAATGTAGCCAACTCCACAGCTTAGGTCTCTGCCTGTCAGCAACATTTTACTTCTCTCTGATCACATCGATCTAATCCAATAAACAGACATTGCTCCAGCCACAGCAGAGCTCTTCTTCCCAACACGGGGCATCTAGCCAACTCTACAGCTTAGGTCTCTGCCTGCCAGCAACATTTTACTTCTCTCTGATCACATCCTATTGGTTTTGCAGTTCAGTGTAAGGGACAATCTCACCGCTACTCAGATCGCCCACGTGTTTTTTGACCCTGGAGTCTTGGATGATACCAGCATGGTTGAAACCCTCCTGGTCTCCCTGGAGAGCAAGCCAGCTCTGGACATCTCTGCCTTTGTTGCTGAATTTGTGGCCACTGCTTCTCAGGTGAGATACCAACCCTTGCATGGGGATGTTGTTTTAGCCCACAGTGCACTGCAAGAGTGGTGTCTTGCAGAAACTATTGGGCTTCAGCCCATATGGACCTAAGGAGTATCTTCCCTGAACCGGCTCCCCTGTCAAGCATGTTATTACACTCAAACCCACACACTTACTACAGAAGAGCTGAAAAACAGCATCAGGTCACAGCTGATTTGTGTTGTCACTTGCTTTGTTTTGCAGGAAGGCTTATCATCCCTGGTAAATGTGCAAGTCAGAGATGCCATGTTCAGTGCAATCTTTCACAAACTCCAAGACCAGTTCCCCACTTTTAGCATCTCCCAGTACAAGGACTGGTTCCAGAACAAGCTCAGTCTGTGGCTGGGCAGCATAAATGCCTCTGCTCTTGCAGCTATCCCAAGGAACATACCTTGTAGAATATACCAAATTATGTGAGTACTTCATTGCCTGCATTCACTTTTTTTTTTTCCCCCCACTTCAGCTTTTGCACATAGCAAGAGAATTCCCATTGCTCTTCTTGGTCCTGTCTGAATACAGAAACAAAACTGTATCAGGGCTCTTAAAGTCCCAGGCTTACCCTTCCTTCCTCTTTTCACTCCCAACAGCTTCATTGTCTCACAGCTCCAGTTTCTGACCAGGGCTGTGTCATCTCTATCCAACTGCAACTTTGCCATAACAATGCTTGTTTACCAATGCAAATTCATCTAACAAAAGAAGTTTGCTTACCACTGATAGAACAGGCCATAGACTGCAGAGTTCTCATGTGCAATCACGTTAAAAACTTTTGGTGACCTCAGGCACCAAAACCAAGGCTTTACTGCTATAATGAATCTCCTGCTTTCCCTTTTCTCACAGAATGAGTGGCTTAGAGGGCAGCTTCCAACAGATGTCCCCTGCCAGCCACCAGGACGTTTACAGCTTTGCAAAGAGCTACCTGTCTGCTAAGGCTTCTCAGGAAGGTATGCTGAACCTGCCCTCTCTCTCCTGTAACTTCCCTGCATCTCTTGTCAGAAGCAGTAACATCCTCACAAAATTACAGGATGCTGGGCATTTACCCATGAAAAAGACAATTAAATTAGAATTGGAAGATGTCAACTGCTTTTTGCTCTATAGCAAGGAGAGATGGAGAACAAAAGCATCTGCAGAAGCAGCTGTTTCTCCTTAAGGCTAGGACAAGCCTTGATGTTAATCACAGCCCCTCACTGCAGTGGCAGCTCACCAGCTGAGAACTGAACCATCATTGGTACCTCTCTGGCTGCCATTACCACAATATCTGATAATCTCCCAAATTTAACATTCCGATCCCTATGCCTTTGCCAAAAGGTATGGGAATGCTATCTCTTTACCAGGTGTACTTACACATCTAAAGGTACACATTGGGCGTTAGTCACTTCAGTGATGCCAATATGACTGAGGGATTTAGGCACCTAGACATTTTGGGTAACTCGTGTATCAGCACATTCACACTATTCCCACTGGGGCACTCAACTGCTGGTTATGTCACCCTTGAATTACACTTTGTTTAAAAGGTGGCCCATGCATTGAGAACACCAGGGGAAGCTTGGGTTGGCTACAAACAAATCTGGGCTCCTTCAGCTCCTTGGCTACATACAGAGACCTGGCCGACATGAATGCAGACTTCAGCATCGTAAGTAACTCTGCAAGACAGAGCCCTGTCAAGGCTCAAATCCCACCTGACAGCCTTTCACAGCCAGCAAACACTCCTGCCCTCAGGCAGGACCAGTAAGCAAGACAGAGCCCTCTCAAGGCCCAAATCCCACCTGACAGCCTTTCACAGCCCGAAAACACTCCTGCCCTCAGGCAGGACCAGTAATTTTAACACTTGATTTCACAGGTTGATGCCGTGGCAGGACTCAGCCCAGAGGTACTGGCAGCTTACACACTGGCTGGCGATGTCCTGCGTGACATGGACAAAGCAGGCAAGGTCTTCAGCTCTCTGAGCTCTCGCACCATTGGGGATTTCATGGATGCCTTCAATGCAGCTGCAAAGCAGGTAGCAACTTCACCTCCTGTCCAAGAGGCTGGAATAAAACAGTTTAGACAGAGTGCATGCTGATGTAGGAGCTGAGGTTCCAAGTGTAGAAAGAGGCCACAACTCTTAATTAATCTGGGTCCCATCCTGGTAGGGATACAGGCTCTCTGCAATACAGCCACTCTTTAACCCAGTAGGAATTTCAGTGTTGTCACAAAGACCCAGGATCCTGCACCCATTGGCCACATGCTGGAGATGAGCAGGACACACGGGCAGTTTGGGTACATGCACTCATAACTGCCCAGGAAGATGTGAGCCCTGGATGGGACAGTCATTACACACCCACATTGCAAGTGACCAGACAAATTGCCAAAACTGCACACAGCAGCAATCTTTGCATTTCCAAATTAAACTAATTGCATCTTCTTGTCTTAAGAGGAATCTCAGAAGTGTCGCATACTTCCTGGCCCTCAGTATGACTCCTTTTTACCAATTGTGTACTTTTAATGTCTTTATCTTTTGGTTGAAGCGCAATGTCTCTCAGCTTCCTCATGGTGATGTGCGACAATTCATCCTGGGACAAATCTTCTGTCACCTAAGCACAGCATTTGAGCTCTTCTCTACTGAAGACTATGTTGCCTGGTTTGGAGGAAGGCTCAGCCTCTTCCTAAGCAGCCTCAATGCACAAAACCTCGGCTTCTTACCCAGTGACATGACATGCAACTCTCTTGCAGCCATGTAGGTATCAAGTCCGTTATCATTTCACTGACACTCTTCTTACTTTTCTCTTTGCCTATAAAGATGGAAGCTCAACCACTGGGTGAGGAGAGCAGGTTCCACTAGCCCAAACACCCAGTCCCAAACCTGAGATTCTCATTTGGTGAATACATTATGATCTTACCTGGCAGCCACTGCAGTTTGCCAGGGAGCTCAGTGGGTTCTGTCCCAGTGGCTGTGGATCAGTTGGTTGTGGTTGTTTGTCTTACCCTGACTATCCATGTCCTGCAGAGTGAAGACCCTGAACGAACACAAAGCCCAAGGGCCCTATGAGAATCCAGAGCACATCTACTCCTTCATAAAGAGAGTTCTTCACTTCCAGCTGCAGAACTCAGGTAACAAATGTCTGGGCTTGCTTGTGTCCAGGTTTCAGGAACACAGAAAGTTGGAAAGATTCAGCCACCTCATAAAACATCTTGGATTTCAGGTGACATGCAGACCTGTTCTTTTTGCAGGAAAGAGTCATTTTATCATTTTAGCAATCTGACAGTTAATCGCCTAACCAGTGCTAGGCCTTTAGGGTCCCCTGAAGTCAGTAAAGAAGCATCTCTGCCTTTGGACAAGCTGCTTCCCTGGAGGATAAATGTGCTGAATCTCCTGCTAGTTCTTAATGGAGTCTATCTTCACTCCTCAACCTGCTTCTTAGCCTCAGTGAAGAACTCAGCTCACAGTTGTCAGAGAAAGGTACCACCCTCCTCTTTGGAGGACTGAAACCTCTCTCAGATGGCACAGAATGCTGAGGTCAAAAAGCAGAAGCTGATCAAGAATGAGACTAGAACATGCGGACGTGGAAGGAACCCCAGTATGCTCAAAGGCAAAATGATTCCCCTTTTCCCTCTCTGGTAGCATTTGGATCCCACCGGGAGCTTGCAACATGAACAATAATATGTATTTCACAGCCATGACATGGAAGGAACCCCAGTATGTTCAAAGGCAAAATGATTTCCCTTTTCCCTCTCTGGTAGCATTTGGATCCCACCGGGAGCTTGCAACATGAACAATAATATGTATTTCACAGCCAGTGGGGACTCACAGTGTTACAAGCCTCTGCAATCCAGGGAAAGAAATGATGTATCTTCTGAGCTTTGCTTTTCCTTTTATAGGCTGTGCCTGTACCCAGGGCACCACCGCAGACAGGGAATGGCTGCTACAGTATTTTGGTTTATTCACTGCTTTTGGATCGTACTCAGATTTTGCAACACTGAAGAGCAACTTCCATGGGGTAAGGGCTAGATACGAAATATCTGGCATTTTATTCTTAGCCATCAAACAAGCTGACAGGAACAAAGTTCAACTGGATTAGTTTGCTATTTGTGTTGTTCATTTTCTCCTACGTGCTTCCATTTTTTTCTCATTAAGTTTCTTCTTGTTAAATTTTAATACTAAAGTAGTGTCAAAAGCACTGCCTTGAGGAGATAACCATCTTATCAGGAGAATATAAATTCCATAGGAAGGCAAGGATTTCAACAACAAACTCCATACAGCAGTGGCTGATAAGACACAGGAAGAGCAGATAGTAAATTACAGACGGTCTGCTGAGAACAGTCTCACAAATCACCTGTCTAGCAGCAGAGGACAGCTATTATTAAATTTAATCCCAGTGAGCACTGCACGCTGCTTGTTGTCTGAAACCCTGTCCAGAAAGAAGTTAATGTTCCTTAGACGTGAAAGCCCAGGTGGGCTGAGAGGAAGGGGAGAATCCTGTGGATTGGTCTCCAGCCTCACTCTGTGCCCCGTCTTCTTCAGCATGACTCTCTAGACCTTCTCTCAGCTGAGGCACTGGCCCAGCTGACTGTTCAGAGCAAGACCATCTACAGCCCCTCAGCCATCCAGACGGTTCTGGAGGTAATTGGGAACAAGGAAGAGCCTCTCCAGTATCTCAGTGTCTTCCTAGAGGACTTCAACACTTTTGTCCTGAAGGTAAGTAACCCAAGTGCCCCTGATAACAAAAGTCTTGGGGAGTAGAACAGGTCACAGGTGAACTTTCAGACTTCCAACTCTGGGACTCTAATGGCCAGATATAAAATAAATCTGGAAGATGATCTAGAAGGAGTTCACCCTGCTCCAGTATGATCTTATCTCTGTCCAGGCCTTACTCTGGTTTAACTTCTGTGCACAGACCAGCATAAAATGTTCTTCCTCAGAGGAACTTTGGGAAGAATACCCACCACTCCAACCTAGAGCCAGGATATAAACAGTAACGGTTTCTCTACTGCTGATCTGTGATATTCTAATGACTTATGAAAGGTTCTGGACCAGGGCCCTAAAATTGTTAACATCCCTTAAAACATTTGCATGTGAGTGAGCAAGAGAGAGACTCTGCTGCTTGCCCTAGTCCTGCTGGGCTGAGGGCAAGTTAACAACAAGCCAAACTGAGGAGCCTGAGCGTGCCCCAGCCTCGCTTCATACACAGTGTGACCACTCTGCTGACTGCTATAACAGCCGTGGCTGTGGGAGTGCAAGGGAAAGGAAATTCAAGCACCTGGGCTGCTTTTCTGTCCAACTCTTGACAAAAGAAAACCTGAATTGCCAAGGTCAACTCCCCAACAAGGCCACAGTCAGACCATATTTCCAACTTTTATTGTTAAACAGGAGAGGAAGGAAGGGGAGGAGAGCCACAAAGAAGAGAAATTGTGGTTATTTCGCCAATTTTTCCCTTCACCACTTTTTCAGCTTAGCTTCAATATTCAAGGCTTTCTAACAGCTCTGCTCATCACCTGCTTCAATTTCTTCCTCAGAGCTCTGATTTCCTAGGAAGCACTAAGGTTCGGGAAACCATGTTAATGATGACAGCAGAGATCATCTTCCCACAAATTACTGACATGTCCCTGGAAGACACATCTACGTGGCTGCACAGACTGCGCGTCCTGCTGCCCCAGGTGAACGCCACGGTGCTGGAGCTGCTGCCCCTCGACATGCCGTGCCCATACTACCAAGCTCTGTAAGTGCCTGTGGGGCTGCTTTGGCTTCGTGCTGCTACACGAGCAGTCACTCTTGCATCACCAGTTACTCATCAGGCAAGAGCTGCTTTTTACCTTCATGTTTAGCATTGGGTATAACCAGAATCAGTCAATTGCTCTGCTTTAAAGGGGGCATTTCTATATGGAAACCAAATCTTAATCCTTAATCTCAAGCAGACCATAAATTATACAGCCCAGCAGAAAACAAAACTGATTACCCACATGCTACAGGCCAAGTACTAGCACCTGCCAGCTTTGGTTTGTCAGCGTTGAGAAGTTCTCCTCACCCCTACTACACTGATCTCTGCTGCTTTATCCCCATGGAAATCCCCATGGAAATCTGTTGTATGGTTTCTTCCCCAGCATTGCAGCAATTGATGGAGTCTACCCAGTGCTGTCAGCAAGGAAGAAGCATGATGTGTATGAGTTTCAGAAGGCCTATTTGACAGCCCAGTTCACAGACTCAGGTAAGATGCCTACACACAAATTCCCAGTAAAACACTAGTATTTGTATGGAGCATCTTTTGTATTCCAAACATTGAAGATTTTTATCCCTAACAATCACACATCTTCCCAACATTGAGAGTCAGTCACTTCTGCTGTTGTTTACAATCCTGGGAAGTTCAAAACAGCCCTGCGAAAGAGGAAGGGAAATCACTTCTCCTTTTGAAGCTACAGGGAATACTGGTGTAAGGAGGTATGATATTACAGAATGAATAGGATATAAAGAGAAATGGGATTTCCATTTGGTTTAACCATTTCCCCAGTCTGGAAGTGAATCAGAGTGCAGAAGATCAGACCCTGCACTTGCAATAGGAAGAATATTAGCCATTCTGCTGTTAGCAGATACTTAATCATTCACATGAGGGATCCCTAGATGCCTCCTTCAGTATATGTTGTGGCTTTTAACCCTTTGGGTCTGTTTTGGTTACAGGATCAGCGTGCCAGGATGGAACAACTGGAACCAAAGACTGGTTGCAAAAGAATCTGGGAGAGATCTGTTCAGTAGCTAAACTAAGTGAACTTCAAACTTTTTACCCAGACATTGCTGGAGTAAGTTTTACTAGTCTGTGCACTGAACAACAGTAGAACTAGCACCTGATTCCAAGCAAAACAGATCACCTCCTGGGCTTTGCATTTAGAATAATCAGTAAGGGGAAGATGCAGGTGATTCCTCACACAGTGGCTGCATCTCTTAAAGCAGGGATCAGCTTGGGTTTATATGGGAGAGATTACTGGATATGATCCACGTGCAGCATCAGGGGTTGAAATACACATTCCAGCTGCTTGCCTCTCTCTTCACAGCCTCTCTTTGATGAAATATATTAATTGTTATCACTGATTATCAGAACCAATGCCGAGAGCCTGGGCTATGTCTGAAATAGAGAGGTATATTCTACTATGAGTGGTGAAGGGAACTTCTTTTAAATCATCTTTAAAAATCAAATTGGCTTAAAGGTCACAGTAGAATGGCTTATGTGGGCATTGCCTTTCCTAATTCCTCCAGACAATGACTCTTCAAATTACATTTTCCCTTCAAAAATACTAGAAGTTATTTACTCAGATCTACTAAAATACCAGACACATTCTGGTACTCTGAGTTTAGTCTAATCAGTAGCAATGGGTTGCACATCCTCAGGACACGCTGAATTAATCGTTCAAGCTGCCTACATTATGATACCAAGTTGTAACTACAACAATGCAAACGATGCGTTAAGAAAAGATGTGACAAAGACCAACAGGAGTTGAATCCTGCCAGACTAATATTTGATTGGGATGTCTGTATCTAAATGTTATTTTAATATTGGTTTCACAGCAAAGACAGAAATTGCATTCATGAAATTGTTAAAGTACAACTTGAAAATCCAACAATTCTGCTTTCATGTGAAAAACAAGTATTTTCTCTTTATCTGATGTCCTAAAGAAAATCCTGCACAGCTGTAAAACATGCTTTAGACAATGTTTTAATTTTATATACTCATAAACCAATGCTAGTATTTATTAAAATGCTGATTTTGTTTGAAGAATTTGTGTAACACTACCTATACAATTATCAATAAAAGCAAAGTTGAACAACCCACTTGGTATATTTCATATTGTTTCAGACTGTCTTATTGATGGTACTTAAACTAAATTGATAAAGTAGGAAGTTGTACAAATATACTAGTTGCTACTGGTTGAACTAAACTAAAAAGTCTATAATCCCAAAGCACAAACCAGTTCACTAACTCCTTACAAAGACAGTGAAAGCAGACCCCATTGCCACATACCTGGCAGACACACAGAGCTTTTGTAAGGGAGTTATACTGATAAAACTTTCTATTCTGACAGATTAATCTTAAGCACCAACATTATCAAAATTCACAACAATTCCCATATTTACTTGAAGTTAAGTCAAAAGATAAACATACTGTTCTACCCCAAACATCTTAGCCTACCACATCCACGGCATCTGAGCAACTTCCAGCAGAACCTTGAATAATATAATTTGACTGTGTTCCCATTTGCCATCTGCACCACAGCAGCTCAATCCAATATTCCATTCATTCTGCAGCTGAAGCTCTCAGAGGAGAAACACTGATGTGTGTGTCTTGCAGACATCCCCTGTGTTTAGCAAGTTCCCTGCCAAATGCTGCCACATTAAAAATCCTTCATTTTCATCACAGAAAGTGACCTCTGTCTGTCTTTGAACACACACTATAGTGAAGAAGAAATTTCTTTCAAAGCCCTGGTGAGAGGTTTCTGGGCTATGAACAATGCATCAAAAAGGCTTGCAAACTGGAGCCTCTCACCGTTGCTTTGGTGTCTTTTCCTATTCTCTTACAATCTACCTCATTCTGTGGGGAGTGATGCTCTATCAGAACACATAATCCGAAATCCACCAGGGCTTGGGCAAAGCCTCGATTCATCTAACCTCCCTGGCATGGTGCGCTCTGTACCCTTTTAGCACTCCCTGCTTTGCTCTCAAATACACTGCTGGAAGTCTTTAAGTGTGAATTTTTCAGAGCAGCTAGGAAAAAAGCACCTCTACCCCCTCAGCAAAATAAAATTTTAGATGAGGAGAAAGACAACACAGTAACGTTACTTCAACACCACTTTTACAGCATCACATTGGGAACAAGGTTGCCTTTTAACTGGGTAGACAGCTGTACACAAATACATTCAGTCTGGCAATGTCCCACATCTTTACCTTGCTAAAGAAGATGCTGAATTTACACCAGCATTACACAGCTCAGCTTCCTGATGCATTTTAGTTAAATTCCCAAAGAGCAGACAGTAGTGTCTGGGCTAACACAAGGGGTCAGAATCCCTGGAACAAAAACCTACCACCTAATTTGACAGGCAGAGAGAGATACAGACTCAGCATACATTCAATTCTAGAAACAATTGAGCTGAGCACTAATCATAAGCCAGCCTTACCTAAACCTTTTTAACATGTTGATCATTATTTGGCAGTTTTATTTAGGGTCTTAAAGACTGGAGCAAGTAACATCCTATGAACGGTCTCAGCCAAGGCATCCCTGCAAAAGGGATTACTGTGGAAAAGAAGGCAGTAAGACAGTGGTCAAGACAGACCAGGGAAAGGTGGGAGGAAAAAGGAAATGGAAGTGATGAGGTGGAAGAGAAAGGGCTACTGCAGATGGATGCTGCACACAGGAGACAGTGGAAGCTGAAGATCCAAAAGTATACTCCTTGGCAGATCTCAAATGTTAACCCACTACAGGTTTTCAGGCAGTTTATCAGATTCTCCTTAAAGCTTAAAAGGTACCAACTTTACTTATACTAATTAACTAACTTTATGCTTCACAGGCAAGGATCTTCTGCTCATGTATAAAGAGCCCATTTCCAGGGGGACACCCAACATTGTCCCCTGTAAGACTCTTTACACAGAACTGAAAGGTTTTTCACCCTTATCCTCCTAACACACTATTCCCACCTCACTGTTCCATAAGGAAATATGGATCTGCCCCGGCATAGCCTAATTTTTCTCTCCTCCTCAAAGTGCACTGCCCACAAACATCTGCAGTACCACAAAACCATTCTCTCTTCCTGACTGTCTGGGGACTTCGCTTTAGAGCCACTTGCCAGCCACAGTCTTGGCATAAAAGCAAACATGGCTCTAGGACAATTCTTTTACATGTGTTTCTTCTTAGTTTAAAGTTCCTGATCTTGATACCCCAGAAGAGATGGCACAGTTGACCCTTAACTCAACACTGACCAGCCTGGAAGATACACTCTCAATCCTGGCAATCCTTGAGTGTGGATCCTATAACACAGTCGACAGATACATGAGGCAGTTTAACGTGTGTGCTCGCCAGGTCAGTCCTAATGGATCCCAGGTATTCTCCAACTCCCATGTCGCTGTACTCGGGGAAGGTCTATGCTGTGATAAGCTGCCTCTGCTGTACAGCTCACACTCTGCTCTGAATGTAATGTCTATATATAACAGAGCTGAAAGGCAGAAAGGAGCTGTGGTAAATACCAGACAACTTTATAAGGAGAGATCTCAGCAAGGGACAAGCTAATGAGCAAGGAAATAGACTGAGACCCTGGATAGGGACAGGCAATTTAATTTAATTTTGTTACAACAATGCTGCAGATGTTCCCTAAATAGCCTCTTCTGATTTAAATGCTTATCCAGAGCCTCAAGCCATATTGATGGTTTTGCTCTTCTTTATACCACAGGGAAACCTGACCTCATTACCCAGCATGCTGGTTAGAGATGCGATACTGAGGACAGTGCTACTAAAGCTAAGACCTGAACTCCAAAACTTCTCCAGTGAAAGTTGGGCAACCTGGTTCCAGCAGCAGCTGCCCTTATTGCTGTCTGGTATGAACAAAACCTACCTGGGATGGCTGGGGATCAACATCTCTTGTGATTCCTATCAAGCAATGTGAGTTTACCATTACTCTTAGGGTTATGACAGCATTGCAGTTAAAAGCTAGTGTTTCACAAGTCCAAAATATGGAGGTCTCAGCTAAGACAGAAGGACTGAGGTCTGTCTCCCTTCTGTTTGTATAAATGGAAATATTCATGAGCCTCTTCTGTGAAGTGCAATTAAGAGATGTGACAGCCTCAGGCACCACCCAGGCCACACAGAAGGTTGGAAAAACCTTCTTAAAACTCCAAACAAATGCAGCTCCTTTCTAAACATGTCCTCTTTTATCTCCCAGTGTCAAAGGATTCAACATCACTTATGAGTCTCTTTCACCTTCCACCAAAATGGACATATATAACAGCTACATTAAAACCTATCTGAGCCAACAATCACATTCAACAGGTAACAGCACCAAAGAAGTAGAATAATTCTAAAGTCCACGGGATAGAGAGTTATCACAGAGTTTGTTTCCAGGCTCCAAAATATCAGTGATGGGTTCCTACCTTCGTTCAGCGGTCCCTGTGGCTGGAGCCAACTTCACCGAGCAGGAATGGAGCAGGTCCACGCTTAATTTCATCTCCTTTGAACTGGTCCTGTCTGTGGGTCCTACTTCCACTGCATGGGGATATTTCCCAGAGTTAGAATTGGCTCTGATACAGTCTCTTAATTCAACAAATAATCTAAAACAGTCAGCACCCACAGGAATGGTGTCCTACTTCTGTGCCTTTCATTAGCATCATCATGGCTGCCCTGAAAGGACATAGGTTGTCTTTGCTTGTAACACTGCCTTGTCAATAGACCTGTAGGTATTTCCTCTTTCTAGGGATTGCCTGTGACACCCAAAGAGGAATGAGAAACTGGATTGATATAAATCTTGGGAAATTCATACAACAATCCTCCACGCAAGACCTTGTTCGCTTCAATGCCAAATTTAAGGTACTGAGCTGAAAGTCTGTACAGAGTAATTAGCAATGCCATAGTTCATCCTTGGTAACAATGTGTTGTACTGGGCTTCAGAGGAATTAAAATTTCCTACACAAAGGCCAAATCACAGCCCAAGATGTCATCAAATTTGCCTCCAGCTACCCCATCATGACCACTAATACATTCACAGGCCTTAATCCAGAAGAAATTAAGATAACACATAGTAAAACTGAGCACTGCTGCTAGCTCTGCCTTGGAGACACCACCACCTCTGTATAGAGCAGGGCCAGGTTTGTGCCCTCTGCCTGGGAACAGCAAACACGATCCAGGCATTGCTGTTTGGCATAAGCCTCTATTATGTAACTACTGAATGAGTAACGCCACACCATTTTGTATGAATGTCCCTAATTCTCATATTATTCTTTTTCCTGTGCAGGAACTAAGCGCTCAGAGCCTGAAAGATTTGCTGGGACCTAGTTTTGGCTTTCACCTTGAAGAAGGATACTCACAACAGCCATCAGCAGGTGAGTGAAAGCGCACTTCGGAGTTACCATCAGGTTTTCTCTAGTGCTGACACTCTTATGCTTGCTTAGGATGCAAACAAATTCCAAAAGGCTCCTATCTGCATAGCAAAAGTATACAAAAAGGTTATTCCTTGTCTGCCTCACAGCAGATTCTCTTCCACTGGATAGAAAACAGTCTCTCATCACATGAAAGAAATTTTGCAGTGGAACCTCCTGGCTCTGCTGTAAGCTCAGTCTCACTGCACTGCCCAGAGTCGAGTGGAAAGTCACTCTGGGTCACACTTAGTTCGCCACGAAGGAGTGGCAGGACCGTTGCACAGCGCATGTTCCCTAGTGCTTTGCATAATCTAATCATAACTGACTTTGCAGATGACTTTCACTGCTTCCCTTGGGAGTCTACTCCACTAGTAAAACATTTCCAAATGGGCTTATGGGAAAGCTATCAGGAGGTGGAACAGTTATTCCAGACCCTTGAACAGATCATTGTCTCTGTGGACAATCTCTGTGGATTCAGAACTGATTAGGTGCCTTAACATTTATTTCAGCACCTCCTGTAACCAGAAGAGCAACAACATATATGAAAAACCACACGTTTCAGATTTTCTACTGTGTTCTCCCCCTCTGGCTACTAAACAATGTTTTGTAAGATTAAATCATACCCCTAAATGATAAGGTATTCTAACACAGAGGAAGCCAAACAGCACTTCAATCAACAAGGGTGTTTACTTTCTTCAGAGCTCATCACTTCTTAACAATAATCTAGAGGTGCAATTGCACGATGATGAAGTCATATAGAAATCTGCAGAGTCTGGGGCATTTGTTGGTAAAGTATGTTGCCTGGAGCCCCATCTTCACACCTTAATCAGAGCTTTTGAAGCTGCAAGGACAAAACCCAACAGTGGTTTCAGGATCAGGACCTAGACTCTATCAGTTTCTCCTTGCATTCTGCCTACAGCTCTGCCTGGAAATGACACGCAGCTCTGCTGACTAACAGCACCCTGCACTTGGCACTTCCCACCAGGGTACTTCTACAAACAGTGCAAAGTGTTAGTATGCATTAGTTTGCATACTGCAAGAGCCCAAATTTGCGAGGCTTTCCTTGAAACACCACCAGCATATGGAAATCTCCATGCAGGATCTGCAATCAAGAAGGTGCCAAGTTCTCAGCCAGACGCCACTACAACCTTGAAAAATTGTTACACCACTTTCTCCACTGCTTCTCATGTCAATAAAATTCTTGCCTTCAAAGAGCTAATCGTTCCTCACTCTGAGCTTTGAGCCTCTAATACACAAAACATCATGTTTTTTGCACAAACACAGCAAGCTACTCTGGGAGGATTTACAGCTTTAAATTCCCATGCCACATCAGCAGGAACCTCACCAGCTGCAACCCAACCCCAAGAAGGGTGACAGTAATCTGGGGCTGCTCCCACAAGCTCAAGGGCTTTGAGGACTCACTCTCTGCAAGGACAAGAAGGCCTCACACTGTTGATAAGACCAAGGGCCACGATAAGTTCCTCTCCACAGTGCGTACAGCTTACCTCAGCCTAAAACACTTTCCACTGTAGCCTATAAATCAACAAACTCCCTGCATACAGCCTGCAAGAGACAAGCCTGCCTCACCCGCCGCCATGACCGCCTCCACAGGCCGCGCGCGCGCGCTCGCCCCCGCCGCCTTCCTTTCCGGCAGTGTGGCGGTTCCCCCTTTTACGACAGTGTGGCAGCCCCGCCCCCCCCCCGCTGGTTGCCGCGCTCGGCGGCGGCCCGGCCGCGATGGCGTCTCCCTTCAGTGGGGTGCTGCAGCTGACGGACCTGGATGATTATATCGGGCCCTCACAGGTGGGTGCGGGCCGGGGGTGGCGAGGAGCGGTCGAGGAGGGGGGGACAGGCCACGGTTCTGCGAGGGGGGCGGCCCCAGCCTCCTCCCGCTCCGGGAGCCGCGGGGTGGGCCCCGCCAGCGCCGCCTGGGGAGGGTTATCGGGCCCTCACAGGTGGGTGCGGGCCGGGGGTGGCGAGGAGCGGTCGGGGAGGGGGGACAGGTCACGGTTCTGCGGAGGGGGGGGCGGCCCCATCCTCCTTCCGCCCCGGGGTGGGCCCCGCCAGCGCCGCCTGGGGAGGGGGAGGAGGTGGCGCTGAGGGGAGGTGGGTGACAGCCCCAGGCCGGGACGGCGGCTCTCGGCCCGGGCAGGGCCTGGCAGGGTGATGGAGGCGGCAAAGGGGCCGAGGCCGGCCCTTTCAGGCGTCCTCCCTATCTCCTCCAGCCAGTGCGCAGGGAAGGGAGGGCAGCAACGCTGATCGGTGTAACCTTCTGTAAGAGGCTGAAGAGAGAAATCTTGGCCCAGCAGCCAGTCGGTCATTCCCACCCCGATCTGGAAGCAGCTCTATTAAATCTTAATCTACACTCTATTAAATCTTAATCTACACCACCACCCCCAAAAGAAAGTTTAAACCTAAACAAGTTTCCTTCCAGGCTACTGATCCGCACAGAGGCTCGTGCCAGCGCAGAGGAGCAGGTGACAGAGAGGTGGGGGTGAGCAGCAAGGATGGGTCAAGAAGTTCCCTTTGGAGTCTTGAAGCATTAGCAAAAGTATAAAATAGTAATCCTGGACCTGTTTGCTGACAAGTACAGCAGAAAAACTGTCCCGAAATGACATCAGTGGAGTGGGGCATAGCAAAGCCCATTAGCTCTCCTTGCAGCACTTGTGTTTCCTAGAGAGGTTTTCACGTAAATAATGTGACCTGCTTTTCCGTTCCGAGTAGAAATCGTGGTTTTACTCAGCAGAACTGAAGAATCATAATGACTTGTTCTCAGTAGTCTCTAAATTTTGCAAAATGTAGTAAAGCTGGATTAATTTAAGGAGGGGGACAAACTGAAAATGTTGGCAGAGGATGGTAAAGGGCAAAGAGAATCTTAGCTGCCGAAGTAGGACAAAGGAGTCATAAGGTGCCTAAACAACAAAAATCGCACAAAATGTAAAAGCACCCTTGAGACTTCATCACAGAACAATACAGAGAACTGGAGGCAGTCCATTTGAGATCGTCAGAGTCCTTTCAACATTAAATGAAACTTCATTGGCACTAGCCACATGTTGACTCTAGTGACCACGCCTCCATCAGTTAAAATTTGCAATGAAGAACGCAGGATCGGCTGTAAGATTTTAGAGAGGAGGACTGTGCAGGCAAACCTCTGCTCCTTGCAAGGCTCTGTAAAACATAGCTTCTGTTCTGCAGAAAGAATAGCAAAATTGTCTTCTGGTTTTGGTATGATGCTGGAAAAGTGTTCCTTCTGTAAAAAAGGGGTAAGAAGCTTTTGCTTTTGTATTTTCCCTTGATGGTTATAGGCGCCGCAAATTAATGGAGCGTATTTTAAGGGAGAGTAAACGACATTCGCTCTAGAACTAGCGTTTGGGTTTGATCATTCTAATTTCTTTTATATCTACCTCATCCATACTTTGTTGCTCATCTCCTCACTTTTGGGCTTTACTTCTCTATCAGGAATGTATTAAACCTGTAAAAGTGGAAAAAAAGCCTGGAAAAGCAGCAGCGAAGATCAGAATTGAAGCAGATGGAAGCTACTTTCAGATCAATCAGGTATGTTGATTTTTCATCGTTATTCTGTAAAATATCCAGAAAACATGAGTGTATTGTTAAGTATTTGAATAGTCTACAGCTATTTAATGCCTCAGAGAGGACCAAGATATTAGAAAAACGTCGCTAGTCTTGTCAGCATTCTCGTATCTTTTTTCCAAAGTCCAACTCTTTAATTGCCTGGCTTTATAAGCAGTAATTCTGATTTTATGTCAGTCTGTTATGCTCTGAAACACTGACATTAACTAGTGATGATTTTCAATATAAGAGCATATAAACTGGGAAGTCTATTTTGCTATTAATACTTAAGTATTAGGAAGTCCTAGATTATTTGCAACAATGTCTTTTCTTAATTGCATTGTATCATACAGCAGAGTGATCACTCACTAAGAGATTCAATTACATACTCTTAAATTTTGCTCTGATTTTTTTTAATAATATTTCAAAGGGTTTGTTAAATAGCCTGCAGAATTCATAAGCCTCCTGCTTCTGAAATTGATGTCAAGTTTTGCAGAATGATTTTCCTGTTTATGCAGAAAAGGTTAACATTTCTTGGCTAACCAAGCTGGCAATTCATCTAGAACAGGTACTTTTAACTTCAGGCAGATGATGATCTTTTGATTTAAAAAAGGGGGGATACAGTACTTCCAAAGGAGAATGGTTTAGTATTTTAAAATTTTAATTGCCCCGCCAGCGCCGCCTGGGGAGGGTGAGGAGGTGGCGCTGAGGGGAGATGGGTGACAGCCCCAGGCCGGGACGGCCCGGGTAGGGCCTGGCAGGGTGATGGAGGCGGCAAAGGGGCCGAGGCCGGCCCTTTCAGGCGTCCTCTCTGTCTCCTCCAGCTAGTGCACAGGGAACGGAGGGCAGCAACGCTGATCGGTGTAACCTTCTGTAAGCGGCTGGAGAGAGAGATCACAGAATCTTCTAGGTTGGAAGGGACCTTAAAGATCATCTCTGTCTCCTCCAGCTAGTGCACAGGGAACGGAGGGCAGCAACGCTGATCGGTGTAACCTTGGAGGAGGTGGCGCTGAGGGGAGGTGGGTGACAGCCCCAGGCCGGGACGGCGGCTCTCGGCCCGGGCAGGGCCTGGCAGGGTGATGGAGGCGGCAAAGGGGCCGAGGCCGGCCCTTTCAGGCGTCCTCTCTGTCTCCTCCAGCTAGTGCACAGGGAACGGAGGGCAGCAACGCTGATCGGTGTAACCTTCTGTAAGAGGCTGAAGAGAGAAATCTTGGCCCAGCAGCCAGTCGGTCATTCCCACCCCGATCTGGAAGCAGCTCTATTAAATCTTAATCTACACTCTATTAAATCTTAATCTACACCACCACCCCCAAAAGAAAGTTTAAACCTAAACTCTTGGCCCAGTCGGTCATTCCCACCCCGATCTGGAAGCAGCTCTATTAAATCTTAATCTACACTCTATTAAATCTTAATCTACACCACCACCCCCAAAAGAAAGTTTAAACCTAAACAAGTTTCCTTCCAGGCTACTGATCCGCACAGAGGCTCGTGCCAGCGCAGAGGAGCAGGTGACAGAGAGGTGGGGGTGAGCAGCAAGGATGGGTCAAGAAGTTCCCTTTGGAGTCTTGAAGCATTAGCAAAAGTATAAAATAGTAATCCTGGACCTGTTTGCTGACAAGTACAGCAGAAAAACTGTCCCGAAATGACATCAGTGGAGTGGGGCATAGCAAAGCCCATTAGCTCTCCTTGCAGCACTTGTGTTTCCTAGAGAGGTTTTCACGTAAATAATGTGACCTGCTTTTCCGTTCCGAGTAGAAATCGTGGTTTTACTCAGCAGAACTGAAGAATCATAATGACTTGTTCTCAGTAGTCTCTAAATTTTGCAAAATGTAGTAAAGCTGGATTAATTTAAGGAGGGGGACAAACTGAAAATGTTGGCAGAGGATGGTAAAGGGCAAAGAGAATCTTAGCTGCCGAAGTAGGACAAAGGAGTCATAAGGTGCCTAAACAACAAAAATCGCACAAAATGTAAAAGCACCCTTGAGACTTCATCACAGAACAATACAGAGAACTGGAGGCAGTCCATTTGAGATCGTCAGAGTCCTTTCAACATTAAATGAAACTTCATTGGCACTAGCCACATGTTGACTCTAGTGACCACGCCTCCATCAGTTAAAATTTGCAATGAAGAACGCAGGATCGGCTGTAAGATTTTAGAGAGGAGGACTGTGCAGGCAAACCTCTGCTCCTTGCAAGGCTCTGTAAAACATAGCTTCTGTTCTGCAGAAAGAATAGCAAAATTGTCTTCTGGTTTTGGTATGATGCTGGAAAAGTGTTCCTTCTGTAAAAAAGGGGTAAGAAGCTTTTGCTTTTGTATTTTCCCTTGATGGTTATAGGCGCCGCAAATTAATGGAGCGTATTTTAAGGGAGAGTAAACGACATTCGCTCTAGAACTAGCGTTTGGGTTTGATCATTCTAATTTCTTTTATATCTACCTCATCCATACTTTGTTGCTCATCTCCTCACTTTTGGGCTTTACTTCTCTATCAGGAATGTATTAAACCTGTAAAAGTGGAAAAAAAGCCTGGAAAAGCAGCAGCGAAGATCAGAATTGAAGCAGATGGAAGCTACTTTCAGATCAATCAGGTATGTTGATTTTTCATCGTTATTCTGTAAAATATCCAGAAAACATGAGTGTATTGTTAAGTATTTGAATAGTCTACAGCTATTTAATGCCTCAGAGAGGACCAAGATATTAGAAAAACGTCGCTAGTCTTGTCAGCATTCTCGTATCTTTTTTCCAAAGTCCAACTCTTTAATTGCCTGGCTTTATAAGCAGTAATTCTGATTTTATGTCAGTCTGTTATGCTCTGAAACACTGACATTAACTAGTGATGATTTTCAATATAAGAGCATATAAACTGGGAAGTCTATTTTGCTATTAATACTTAAGTATTAGGAAGTCCTAGATTATTTGCAACAATGTCTTTTCTTAATTGCATTGTATCATACAGCAGAGTGATCACTCACTAAGAGATTCAATTACATACTCTTAAATTTTGCTCTGATTTTTTTTAATAATATTTCAAAGGGTTTGTTAAATAGCCTGCAGAATTCATAAGCCTCCTGCTTCTGAAATTGATGTCAAGTTTTGCAGAATGATTTTCCTGTTTATGCAGAAAAGGTTAACATTTCTTGGCTAACCAAGCTGGCAATTCATCTAGAACAGGTACTTTTAACTTCAGGCAGATGATGATCTTTTGATTTAAAAAAGGGGGGATACAGTACTTCCAAAGGAGAATGGTTTAGTATTTTAAAATTTTAATTTAATAGCGCCTAATTGCTTGGTCTGTTTCTGACTTTATTGAGAAGTGACATTTAAGAGGAGAGTCTCATGGGAAAACTGACTTATTCAGGTCAAATATTATGAAAAATATTTCCTTCCAGTGGTGAGCCACACACTGGCTTTGATACGCTGCCAGACGGTTTTCCCATCGGCGTCCACGCGAGTTTTGCACACAGAAAGGTTGCAGAACACTCAGTATCAATAAAAACATTAGCTTGTAGTCTGGGTACACAATCTGGAAGGAGTGAAATTCAAGTTCCTGTGAAGAAACAGCTCCAGAACAATTCAATAACGTGAGCAGCATCTGCCAGAGGTGACAAAGCTCCATGCTCTCCCCGGGGTAACATTCAACGCACGCTGGAGATCGGTGCTTAAAAGCTCAGGATCTCTGTACTCTACAATTTTGTGCTTAAAACAGCAGCTGCCATCTGCAGCATGTCAGCCACACTGTCCCAGTCTTCAGCCACCCACAAGTTGAAAAACTGAGCAAGACAGACCCTGTTTGCTTCTGGCGTAGTATAATTTCAGTGTTTTGGAGCAATGTTAGCCCACGCATTTGTGTGATAACACAAATAATTGTGGCCTAAGCCACTGTATTTGATGAAAGTTGTCTTCTTGGTCTTGCTCAATTTTTCCTGGAGTTCCTTGGCATATCTGCATCTGTGTGCCAAATAATCCTATTAAAAACAGTAAAGTTCAAAGATACTTGTCTTCTTCATCATCATACTAAAAATAAAAAGTACTTGTTTTTTTAATGATAAACGGAGAGCATAAAAAAGGCAACATCTTTGTTACTAAATATAGTGAAGGTGGAAAAACTGCTACCTAGTTCTACACTGTGATCGGAACTGAGTCTGATCTGTTTCTTTACAGGATGGAGGAGCACAAAAACTGGAAAAGGCTAAAATTACTCTGAACGACTGTTTAGCTTGTAGCGGCTGTATCACATCAGCAGAGAGCGTTTTAATCACTCAACAAAGCCATGAAGAGCTCTGCAAAATGCTAACTTTTAACAAGGTAGGTGACGAGTCACGGCCAGGTAGGCTGCAAGTCTTAATAGATTGGTGTGATGCATCTGCAGAAATGGAGACAATGCATGTAAAAATTCCTTGTGGATATCTGGAGGATTTGAGGACATTCTCAGTGGACTGTTGTGCTTTTCCTGATTTTTAGAAAGTAATCGTAGGTTTGGAAAGGACCTTTAATGTAGTCTTTCTCAGTGGACTGTTGTGCCTTTCCTGATTTTTAGAAGTAATCGTGGGTTTGGAAAGGACCTTTAATGTAGTCATTTACTGACTTCAGAGTTAAGCTGGGAGATACTTTCTGATGTTCTAATGTGCTGAAAGTTCCGCGTGTGCCATATTAATATTGTCTGAACAACATTGTTGCTTGGTTTGTTTTTTCAGACCGCTGCTCCCAACGAACAGAAATTGGTGGTGGTTTCTGTTTCACCACAGTCCAGAGCTTCACTAGCTGTGAGATGTAAAATGGGTGTTCTGGAAACAGCAAAGAAGTTGACCTCATTCTTAAAGAGTTTAGGCAAGTGGTGTTGCGTTCTGTTAATCACAGAGGGGGCTGCTGAGGTAGACGTTAAGTGTAACAGCTATGAGCGTACAAGGTTGATGTGATTTAACCTCCCCATGGACACATAATGTTTCATAATTGGCATTAGCTAAAATGCAAACTGTCTGCAACTTCAGTTGCATAATAAACTTGGAGTGATGGAAGGAACTTTAAGTTTTACGTTTGCAGTCCTCCTGTCACTTGTGCTCTTCTTACTGTGCTGACGCGCTAGGGAGAAAGTTGCTGTATCAACTGTATCTATATCAACTGCAGAGGTTGATACAGAATCACAGAATGATATGGGGTTGGAAGGGACCTCTGGAGATCATCTAATCCAACCCCCTGCCAAAGCAGGTTCACCCAGAGCAGGTTGCACAGGAATGTGTCCAGGTGGGTTTCAAACGTCGCAAGTGATGGAGACTCCACCACTTCCCTGGGCAGCCTGTTCCAGTGCTCTGCCACCCTCAAAGTAAAGAAGTTCCTCCTCGTGTTTAGGTGGAACTTCTTGTGTTCAAGTTTGTGCCCACTTCCTCTTGTCCTGTCACTGGGCACCACTGAAAACAGACTGGTTCTTGATACCCACCCTTTCAGTATTTATAGGTGTCTTCTCCAGACTAAAAAGACCCAAGTCCCTCAGCCTCTCTTTGTAAGAGAGATGCTCCAAGAGAGATACCTGTAAATAAGACATAACTAAGCTTGAATCCAGTTTGACTAGAGGCTTTTTCTTGTAGTTTGCTGTATCATTCATGTGAATTGTAACACAGCTGCTGTACTGCCTAGGTGTGCACTATGTTTTCGATACAACTTTCTCAAGAAACTTCAGCCTATTGGAGAGCCAACGAGAGTTTGTAAAACGCTTTCGAAAGCAATCTGAAGACAAAAAGGCTTTGCCGATGCTGGCTTCTGCCTGCCCAGGTATGGCATTAAATTAGTTATGGAAATAAGGAAATAGCATACGAATAGTACACTAGAACAAAAAGAAAGAAAAAAAAAAGCTAGTCAGAAAAGTTTAAATGGATCAATTTACTTAGAGGATTACTCTCTTGGCAATACAAAGAGATGTTGGTGTTAATAGCAGTAGTGATCAATACAGTTGCCTAATGATCTCTAAAATTAATCGTGTTGCACGTCCTTTGCTTTATGTGATGAAGTGAGTCTGAAAATGGTTATTAATGGGTACTGAGCCTGGGACTGGGAGGAGGGTGGGCAGAGCGAAGGGCTGCTTGTTATTTTTTAATTTAATTTGCCAATTACACTCTTAACCAGGTTGGATTTGCTATGCAGAGAAAACCCATGGCAGTTTCATCATTCCTTATATCAGTACCACCAAGTCTCCACAGCAGGTCATGGGCTCCTTGGTCAAGGGCCACTTTGCAGAGCAGCAGGTGAGGATCTGAAGGTGCTTAGTGGCAGACTGCTAAAACTGAACGCTCTAAGCTGATATTTTTTTATTTTGCTACCTGTTACACATTAGAGTTTGAAGGTAAAAATTACCTTGTAGAAGCCAGCAACTTTATCATTTCTATTTTAACTAATGAGAAGTCAGCAACTAGGGCAGTAACACTAAGTGCACGCTGCATGGACTACTTAAAACCTCTGCCTGTTACTTGGGAAGGCTAGAAAAACTTATTTTTCAGTGTCTTTGTGCTCCTGTCTTGTGCATGTATGGTATTTTTGTGTTGTTGAAAGTTGATGAACAACTTAAAATAAATTATCCTAAGACAAAAACTTCAGTCAGTGCATACGTGCAGATCATGTCTTGTCTAAAAATTACTTGCTTGTTTCCAACTTAATGTTCTGTTTCACTTTGACTTAGTTCTGTTCTCGGTCTTTAACCTTTGGAATCTTTCCAAATGTAAATTTGAAAGACTGGAGTTATACTAATAGCCTAGATTTGTCCAGTCAGAAACTTAAGCACCACTTCTGATGGTGTGATTTATTGTCCATTAATGAGCAGTGGTTTAACACTTGCATTAAGTAAATGCTGACATCTGCATACTTGCTGCAAAAATTGGCAGCTACTGAGAATATTTGGCACAAGACACTGAAACAATGGCCTTGAGTCAATGACTTGTTTCCTCGGCCTGTGCTTATTTCTTGGATGGTCATGAGGTTTTTGTCTGACTCCAGCTCAGGGGCTGGGAATTAGTAGCTTGGAGGAAGCATATTCTCTCTCTGCATAATTAGGAATTCACTTCACTGCCTGACTTTGTGTCGATCATCTCTGCACTAGCAAAAGGAGCTGGGGGGAAACTTGTAAAAGACCTGCTGACACTTGCTACAAACTAAAATTGGGTTTTATAAGAGAAATAATTTAATGTGTATATAAATGTCTGTATATATAAATACAAATAAATGTTCAGTAATAGTGGGGAATATTTCCAGAGGCGTGGTAGCATTAAGTTTCATCATTTTCATTTGTACATAGAAAATGTCTCCTTCCAGACAGGTTTGATATTGGCCAATCCAACTGCAGAGCTTTGTCTTTCTTCCAGCGCCTAACGCCTGACCAGATATACCACGTAACAGTGATGCCCTGTTATGACAAAAAGCTAGAGGCTTCAAGGCCAGACTTTTTCAACCAAGAGTACCAAACTCGTGATGTGGACTGTGTCATCACCACAGGTGAGCAGAGCCAGAGGGAGTCCAGCTAATTTCTGGAAGCCTCAGAGCAAGGTGTTTGCTAGTTTAAATAACCTTTTGTATCTGATTGAGGACGTAGGTATCTACAAAATAAGAACTTTTTATATCTTTGGGTACTTTTTTCAGGAGAAGTGCTAAAGCTGTTGGAAGAAGAAGGAGTATCTCTATCAGATGTAGATCCTGCTCCTTTGGATACCATGTAAGAACAAAATCTCATTTGTATCTTCAGTCATGGTTTTCCTCGCCCAGTATTTATAGAGTTCAACAGAATTTGCCTTTCCACTACTGTTTTACACAAGACTGTGTGTGTTTGCATTTGATTTCTTGTGTCACTTAAATCAGTACAATTGTGCATTAAAATACTTAATCTACAGAATATGGGTTTTGGAGAATCTACAACTAGATTTTAGTAGTCCAAGGATTAGCAACTCTCACTGTAAATCAGAAGGATTGCTACAATTAGCTCAGTAAGAGTATAATGGCAAAATAATTGTTCAGAGAAGTACAAATTGCATGTGAGTTGTTTACTTCAATTACTGTTACAGTGTAGTTGGTGGAATCCCACAAAAATCTACCTGCAAACTTTGAAAAGTGAAAGAATCTAAATCAGCAAGAAAAGAGTTTGCTAAAACAAAGTCTGTTATTGCACTGTGCTCAATTTGTCTCTGTTCCTAGTTATCAGACCTACTGTAAGGATTCAAGAATTAAAGCATAAATAAGGAATATTTAGGTCACTCACCTAATCTGCAATCTAAATCATCGATAAAAAAGTTTGCTACAACAAAGCCTGTTACTGCACTGTGCTCAGTTTGTCTCTGTTCCTAGTTATCAGAGCTACTGTAAGGATTCAAGAATTAAAGCATAAATAAGGAATATTAAGGTCACTCAGCTAATCTGTAGGAGTCTTTATTTTAAAAAAAAAAAGAAAAGATCTAAAACATGTGCAAACCAGATGAGGCTTTAGTTGCTTCAACTGAAAAGTATAGGTCACTCACCTAATCTGTAGGAGTCTTTATTTTAAAAAGAAAAGATCTAAAACATGTGCAAACCAGATGAGGCTTTAGTTGCTTCAACTGAAAAGTAACATCTGGGTAAGTGACAACTGCGCAGATCCACTACTGTTTTACACAAGACTGTTTGCATTTGATTTCGTGTCACTTAAATCAGTACAATTGTGCATTAAAATACTAAATTTACAGAATATGGTTTTGGAGAATCTACAACTAGATTTTAGTAGTCCAAGGATGAGCAGCTCTCACTGTAAATCAGCAGGATTGCTACAATTAGCTCAATAAGAGTATAATGGCAAAATAATTGTTCAGAGAAGTACAAATTGCATGAGAGTCGTTTACTTCAATTACTGTTACTCACAGTGTAGTTGGTGGAATCCCACAGAAATCTACCTGCAAACTTTGAAAAGTGAAACAATCTAAATCATCGATAAAAAAGTTTGCTACAACAAAGCCTGTTACTGCACTGTGCTCAGTTTGTCTCTGTTCCTAGTTATCAGAGCTACTGTAAGGATTCAAGAATTAAAGCATAAATAAGGAATATTAAGGTCACTCAGCTAATCTGTAGGAGTCTTTATTTTAAAAAAAAAAAGAAAAGATCTAAAACATGTGCAAACCAGATGAGGCTTTAGTTGCTTCAACTGAAAAGTAACATCTGGTTAAGTGACAACTGCGCAGAGATCTAAGTGACTATGGAAACATTAAAATCACATTTTACTCATCTAAGTTGACTTGCAGTGGTGGTTCCACACTGAATGCTAAACCAAAGCATTCTTTGCTTCAGTTTAAAGAGATGTCTTTGTAGCACTTTGCACATTAATAAACGGAAAGGCTACATGTCTGGCAACCTCAAAGAATTATAAAAGATAATTAAGCATATGGTTCAAAAATGTACATCTCGCTCCGGCACCGTAAGTTTTTTTATGAGACATTTTGATACGCCAAATATACAGCATCTAGCATGAGTAGAATGTGACACTGGGCTGTTTTTAGCAACAAACTTCTCTTATTTTGAAATTTGGTTTATTTCTAAGTAGGCTTCAAGTCTTCCTAGAACAACCAGGGGCCATTGGCAGCGTTTGCTCGAGAATTGTCTGATCAGTGTGTGTGGACAGAGGTGTGAAGGGAAGTGTCTTTACATGAGGCCTGTTTCCTACCTTAGTTTCAGTTGTTACAAACAGTGGTCTCTCCTGTGCTTCTGAAAAGGAGAATGGGAGGTAGAGACTGTTCCCATCTAATCACTTTCGTTTAAAAGATACTTAATTTAAAAAAAAAAAAGATTTAAAACAACGTGCGTGCCCAGACCCTCAGTTTCCTTCTAATACATTTCAGTGGATCAGTAAGTGTAGGTTTGACCTAACACTTTTACTAGCACAGATCTATTTATACACGCTTTTTCCAGGATTAATTGTCTTTTTCTGACGTAGCATATGCACAGATTGCTTTCACATCAAAAGAGAAAAGTATTCTCAGCTGAAATAAACGTCTGCATGGTTGAGTCCCAAAAGTACAACTTCAAAAGCTGCCCATGTCCACAAGTACTTCTGTTCTACCTGCTTTTTTGTTACACCACTGACACCGAGGAGAAAAAAAAAATAGTCTGAAGTGTTTGGGCTCCCTTCGGAAATGACAGTATGGAAGTGTCAGTTATAACATAGAACTGAATATCTAATTACTTGATAAAAATCTCTGGCCGACTTCTTAGGAGTACATTCTGAGCACCAGGCCTCATGCTTGTGGTGATAAAAGTGCCTCTATAACCTTGTGCTCGCTTTAACATACTTAGTAAATTGAGTGGTTACAAACAGCACGTATTTCTCGGAACTTGGAGCGTTCACAGATGCAGCGCAATGGCTGTTGTTCTGCTTTATCCTTCAGCACGTGGAAAAGCCCATTAAGAGGTTATTACATTTGGCAGCAAGAACGAGACCAAGTGCCAGAAATCCCGGGACTTTTGCCGGTTTAACCGTTTGCTCCAGGCCAGCACTGGAGCTTACTGGCAGCCTCATTTGAAGAGAGTAGCGGTACGTGAGGCCAGACACACTCAAGCATTTTGTTAATGAAGCTCAGTTCCTGTAAACAAGATCAAATTAAAAATAGTTTCTGAGGGCGATTGCTGGCTAAAGTGTTGCCTTCTGCAGTTCTTCCAAAGCCTAAGATTTTATCTGGAAGAGGCAACATCTTCGATTTGACTTGAAACTCTTTGGCTGGGATTCAAGTGTTTTCCTTTCTGCAGCTGTTAGGAGGAGAATGCAAGTGTCACTGCCTGATGAGTGCTTCCAAGCAGATCCCTCGTCTTGTTATTCCCTCCTAACAAAAGCTATTGTTGTGGCTTCCATCTGGTGAGCTATTCTCAAGAAACATCTTGACCTCTGAATAGTTGGTTGTGTTTTGGCATGTCAGTGAGATGCAATTATCTGTGCAGAACTGGAATTACAGAACTCATGTTAACGTAGTTGTTCGACACCAAAAACGCGTTGAACTCGAAGCAGGATCCTGTTAAGGGCAGCTGTGTCTGGAGCAAATGTCCTGGCATGGTTAGGTTTGTTCACCTTTGCTACTTGACTTTAAGCACGTGAAATCACAGTAACACAGATTTCACCTCTCTGGGATTGTGATCACCCCACTGATACCTCCCAGAAGTGCCCTCTCACATCCCAGCAACCACAGTTAAAGTAGCTGTTCTCAAAAGATGTGTCATAACACAGAACTGGAGCTTTCAAGGATGAATTCTGCTTTCGTTGATGTTGCAGCAAAGCTTTAGCACTGATGAGATATCTCTTGACCAAGACAGGATTTCTGCTAGGCTGTGTTCTCCAGGAGAAGCAGAGGTTGCACAGACTCATACCACCAAGGCTTTATTATTTCCCTCCTCCTGCTTTTAAGTGTAAACCCAGGATGTTTGCAGAGATATTAAACAGAAAGCTAACAAAATACACATCAGGTAATTGCTGTTGTAACACAAACATTCCCAAACATCTTTACATCTTTTTGATACGTGAAGATTAAGTCGGCAGTACCTGGGTCAGGTTTTGCTCTGGAATTTGATGGTTTTTCCACTGAGCATGACCCAAAGGATGCTGGGCAGCACAGGGTTAAACCTCCTGGGCTCTGAAGCTGTAAGTAGTTGGTTCCCAGGAGAAAAGGAAAAGCTGGGAGCTCAAAGGGAACAGGTCTTGTGGCTTCTTCTGTTGGTTTTGAGTCCCCTGGACCTCTGTGTTTTGTGCTGGCTGTTTTATCAAAGATTCCCACTAGAAGTGCTTATTTCTTCTTCTCCCCCAGGTTCAGTTGTGCTGCAGAAGAGGAGCTCACGGGCCACTCTGGAGGTGGCTCTGGGGGCTATTTGGAGCACATCTACAAGTACGCAGCCAAGGAGCTCTTTGGAATTCAAGTGGATACAATTCAGTACAAACCTTTAAAGTAAGAAGTTTAAAGTCCTACAGAAAGCACTGTTTTTATTGCAATTCTGCCCGTGCTGTTGTCTTGCTGATGGGCTGAAACACTAAACATTTGACTTGAAGGCATGGGAATTGGCTTCTCACTCCCACAGTCGCTGAGCAATAAATCAGCCAGCGCTCCAGGCAGCTTCCCCTCTGAGACTTGGAGCCCCTTCACCACCCACACACTTCGTGCTGGCCTGATGGATTTTCCCAGTATCAAGTTGCAGACAATTTTTAGAGTAATTTAGAAGACAGAGCTCGCCTGGATCTGGGCTTCCTCACCTGCAATCAGGCCAGTAAAGTAGATTTGTTATGAATCTGGCTATCAGAGAATGGAAAACGTTGTGTCAGGGCTTTGGGGGTCTGTTTTAAAGACAAGGAGTCATTTGAGTTTGGGCATGGAGGCTCATTCAGCTGTGATTCCTTCTAGCTTCCCAGTTATGATATTAGAGAACCATTTGTAATGAATTATATCCCTGATAGCAATACTTATGTTTAGGATTCTCTGGTGTGGGAAGCAGAAGAAACAATCCCCTCTGAGTCTCAAAATGAAATACTTGATAAAAATCAAATTACTCATTCTTTTATCAGGAACAGGGATTTCCACTAACTTTAGGAGTCTGGAAGCCTTCAGTAGGAGTTTGCTCCCTGGTTTTATGACCCACTACAATTTAAAATTTTCCTCAGTGGCCTCACTAATGTATAAGTTGGCTAAAGCCAACTCAGAAGGCCTCTCACAATGAAACTTTTGTTCAGGCTCCATTTACTTGGCTTTTGGGGATTTATTCAACACAGGTGTTCTTCAGCAAACTCAGCTGAGGTGTCAGGTCCTCAAACAAGACTGGAAAAGGGTCAGTTCTTTCATGTGTTTTGTTTGGGTGGCAAAGAACTAGGGCAGCTTTCTTGAATAAGATTTCACAGAGAGCTTTGTTTTAGCACAGGGCTCATAGGGCTCCTTGAAGTTTAAAATAGAAGCTAATTTGGATCAGACATCTTGGCTGCTTTTGTTCCTCAGAAACAAGGACTTCCAGGAGGTGACACTGGAGAGGGATGGAGTAGTCCTGCTCCAGTTTGCTTTGGCCTATGGATTTCGAAACATACAGAACTTGGTGCAAAAGCTGAAACGAGGGAAATCGCCCTATCACTATGTTGAAGTCATGGCTTGCCCCTCAGGTAAGGCTGCCCGGGGGTGGTACTGATAGAGTCCATGGATGGAAAAAGCTGGATGAAACTACACCTAAATTATAAGAACAGTAGGCAGTTTCTCACATCCTGAATGTTGTGGCAAAGCCTTCGGACTCTTGAGATGCGATAGTCGCAGTGTCAGAATTTCAAAGTTGTTTGTATGTATGTTTCCTACCTAGAAGCTACTAATTCTTCAGGTTTTAAGTAATTACAGTTAAATTCCATTGCACAAATTTGCAGAATTAGTGCTTTTAAAGAGGTCCTCCTGGTTTTCTGCAATCTTTGGTACATGAGGATATTCTTCCTCCAAAACTAACTGTTATGCTTTTAGAGAATGCTTGCTGTGGCTGGTGGAGAAAGTCTGTTTCTACCTGTTTTATTCCCTTTTCCTCTTTGTGTAATCCCTCCTTTTTCTGCTTCCTGCTTCTCTCCAGCTCTGCCATCAGAGGCACAGGCAGCTTGAACCCAGCCTGAGGGGATGCTGAGCTGCTGCCCTGAGCAACTGTTCTATCCCCCAGGGGTCCACGTGACACCCAGCCCCGAGGGGCTGCTCAGCAACAGGACACCCCCTTGGGGCAACCACACACTCAACTCGTAGTCCACCTCCACCCCAACAGCAAACCCAGAACATACCCCAGAGAGGTTTATCTTACCTTTAGCTGAGACTCTAGGGCTGCTCTCACCAGGGTTGTGTCCTGGCCCTTTGCTGGAGGCAGGATCTTAGAGCCAGAGCTCCCTGCTTTTTTCTTGTCTCTATTTCCAGGCAGTTCCCAGCCTGCCCTGGCTCACCTGCCTGCAGCCTGGATTAGCCCTGACTAATTAACCAGGCTAGTGGTTAATTAACTAGGCTCCAGGGTTGCAGCCCATCCTGCTGGGGTAGATAACTGGGAAGTAAACCACAATTACATTAGTGTTATCGTTTCTGTAACTGTTTGCAGGTGCAGAGTAAATGAACTGTAGTTGAGGGTTGGGGTTTTTTTTCTGATCAAGCTAAAGTTTCTGATAAAACTTCTAAACTCAGTGATGTTCTCTCGCTTTGTTGCACACAGGCTGCTTAAACGGAGGTGGTCAGATCAAACCAGATGGTGAATCCAGCAAGGACCAGCTCCAGCAGGTGGAGAGGTTGTACGAGTCCCTTAAGAGTGAGATCCCCGAGAAGAACCGGACTGTGAGCGCGCTGTACGAGCAGTGGCTGGGGGGCGCGGGGTCAGAGGGGGCTGCCAGAGCTTTGCACACACAGTACCACGCCGTGGAGAAGGCAAACACTGGATTTAACATCAAATGGTGAAGGACTGACGCTGTGAAGCCCAGAGACAGACACTCAGTGCCTTTGAAACTCAATTATATTATTTAAGATTCTCAAAAGACCGCTACAGTTCTGTGCCATCACTGGGAGTTGGTAATTTCTGACTCTTCATTAGGGATCAGAAGGTAATGTGCATATGGACAGGCAATAGTAATTCCTACAGCTTTATCATTATCAAAGTGATGTAAATAAAAAACAAACACTACTTAAAACACGTCAAAAAAAGCAATAATGCATCCCAGCCCCTGCACAGCCTTTAAGGACTAAATGGGAACTCCCTTTACCACCCTGTTCCTGCCAGAACTGGTGGATTTAAGGTACTGAAGGATGTGGGTTGCTGTAGCCTCAGCGAGATGAGCTTTATGCTACATGACAGTATTACTGGTCCAGGCCTTGCTGTATGTCACAGGGCTGTGTTTTATGGCTGTCTCTGTCGGGACATCCTCATTTAGTTATAAATGGTCTAATTAGACCTTGGGATCTGTTTTTCCATCTCGCTGCCCCTGACTGGCTGCCCTTGAGGCCCAGCTGCAGCCTCCCTGCCCTGTCAGAGGGGGTGGGTACCAGCAGCCTGGGATCACGTGAGAAGCATCATCTCCAGGGCTGTTTTATTGCCTGCTGAAATGTGAATTGAATGAATGCTTCGAAAGAACAAGCTAGAGTGATTTATTTTTTTTTCCCCTTTAATTACAACGATTGTCTCTAACTGTGGGCAATTACATCTCTCTTTCTCTCCCTAAATACGCAGTGGAGAGAGTCACAGAATTGTCACATCCACCTAATCCTCAACAGCCACTTACTGATGGGTAATATCCTTAAATTCAGAGAAAGCAATTTTTTTACAGCGTTTCAAGTAAGAATTTATTGCCAGCTTCCTTTCCACGGAAGGGCAAAGTCCTTGGTGTCTCTGAAAGGTGTTCCTTTACACGAGATAATCGAAGGGGGCTGTGAGATGTCATCGTTACCAGCAGCAGTTTAGCAGAACAATCCAGAGGTTAGTAACAACACATCTGGTTTAACGCAGCGTGCCTTGCTGGGAGACAGATGGATGTGAAACAGATTGGGTCTGTTGTTACTGGAGGTGACGTGTGCTTGTCTTGCTGTCTGGATTTCCACATACGGGTATTTTCAGAACTATTCAGAGAAACAACTGAATGAATAACTTTCTTTTGGTCTATTTGATGTCAATATCGTTTTTTCTGGAGTTACAACGGGCACAGGGAGGGGGAGGCAGCAGTGGGAGGATTTGCAGCTGTACCTGAACCCGGGCAGATGTGGAACCTTTCCTTGTGACTGCTGTAGCTGTGAGTGAACACAAACCGAAGAATCCCGTTATTATTCAATATTTCTCCTTTTTCCAGTTCCCGCTGTGGGAGGAGGAAGGACTGTGCAGAAAGTAGCGTTAAGTGGAGGAGAACTGAAAACAAAACTGGCACATGGCTTTGTCCTTCAGAGCAAACACAGATGGAGGTGGTTACAGCATCCAGCCCAGACTGAAACCTTGCCCAGACCCTCATCAAAGACACCTCCCACCCAGTTACTGCCCCCCCCTGAGCCCAGGGCTGTCACAAGCAAAGCTCTCAGACCTTGAGCTGCCTCTTGTGACGGCTGCTCTGGCAGTACTTGCCCCTGTCCTTCTCAAAGCCTCCTCCACTCTTCCTTAAAAGTAAACCAACAGCATAAAAGACTTTTTTTTTTTAAATGGTTTTAATTAAAAGCTTTACATTTTTCAGGTGTTGCTGACCAATTAGTGAATTCACAGTGTTCATAAGGCAAGAATCTCCCACAGCTTCCCCCTCCCCACCCTCTTGGTTTTACAAGGAGGTGGGTAGTTGCAGCCACTGCCCTTTCCCCTGCACAGACGTGTGTCACACAGGGTTGTGCGTTTTCATCTACAGCAAGAGACACTGCAGCTGACACCACATCAGGCCAAGTGAAGTGCTGAGACCATGAAGATCAGTGCAAGAGAAACCCATTCTGTTTCCATTGACAACATGCACATCAGGCCAGAAGCGCACAAATAAATAAAGCTAAATTAAATGTAGATTTAATTAACCCACTTTGGGGGGGTGGGTTACCAACATGTACCCTGCTAAAGCCACCAAAGGGCTCTCCACTAGGAACACCCCGAGACCTCAGCTCCTACAGCCACTCCTGGGTGTCTGTTCTTGCTGTGATATCAAAACCAGCTTGAAGTCCTCCCAGCCTTTCAGCTGCTGTCAGTGTGAGCAGACTCACTGCTGGTTCAGGAACCCTCCCCAAACACACATGGGTGCATCTCTGCTCCCAGTGTAAATAAAATTCCAGAGGAACACCCAGGTAACGTGGACAAACTGTACCATTACATTTAAACTGAGTAACTTCAAGGCAATAGTACCGAGAGAACTCGTGCAGCAGGATTCATTCTTATCCCCCCCCCCTGTGGGGGAGAGTAAATTCTAACAAATTCTAAACACTATAACTAAGAAAAGGGAAAAAAAGGAAAATCGTAATCTATTCCCAGCAAGGGAAGAAACAGGCAAAATCCAGGCGTCAGTGGCAATGGGTGCAGTTCACAGTCCACACGTGAAAGATCCTGAAGTCAACTCTATTCCAGTGTCAGGAGCTACAAAATTCATAATCGACGCTTTAAAATGACACCACACGGGACAGGATTATGGGCCCAACCCCTCTGCTGCGCTGTGTTTTCACTGGAACTGCACAGAACTCAGCAACACCAAGGCAATCACACACCCTGAGGTGAAGAAGAAACCAGAGACGTGTGATTGTCCCACATGGAGCAACCGGCCCAAGCCCAGACCCTTCGGAGGGATTTTCACAGCTATTTTACAGCGCTACCATCAAGCCCTATGTTCTCTCAAAAAAAAAAGAAAAGGACTTTACTGGTTTTGCAATGCACTTCCCCACCACCTGCCAATAAATGATTTGCACATTTCTCAGACTTAAATTAAAATACAGTACTGGTTTTGCACCAACTGAAGGCTGAAGAGGCTGACAAGCCCCAGTTGCTCCCCAGCTCTTCTAAAGAAAAGGCAACAAAAAGGGAAGTTTCAGCCAAGTTTTCCAGTTTTCTATCGAGGGGAAGAAAAAAAAAAGCAGCAGCAATAGATGCCCAACAGCACATTGGTGTTTGCTGCCTGAAAACTGTCACACCTTGAAAGTATTTTACAAAGGCAGCAGGTGAGGGGACACGTTCGTCCATCGCCTGCGTGGTGTAAGCAGTTTGGATGGCTCCCATCAGTCAGCAATTGCATTACAAATCCCTACGTGATTTTTCTGTGTTGGCCTACCATTAAAAATAGGGGGAAAAGGGGAAAAAACAATACCCGAACCCCACTGTAATGAGGGTTTCTATTAGCCCAGGTCTGGAGTCAAGTAGGTACCGCCCAACGCCGGTGAAAATGCCAATTCTCTTCTCGGCTTCCTCTTGTGCATCCAAGTCCCTGCTCCTCGTCCCGATGCAGCCCCAGGTGTGGCCGGGCTGCAGGGTGCCAGCTGCTCCATGGGGTACAGCCCCCCATCCCCTGAGCATCCCCACCTTCCCCAGGCTCTGCCTTGGCTCCCTCCCGCAGGAAAAGGGTTGCAGGACGGGCGGCAGCTCCCGCACCCACCAACCCCAACGTTGGGAGTGTCCTCTCCAAAACATCCAACATGTTTTGGAGGATCCTGCAGATTTACCTGCCTGGCTGAGCTCAGCAAAGCTCCTGTTGACCAGGGGAACCGGGCACGGCGCTGGAGGGAGCGAAGCAGAGCAGCCTCAGACGAGCAGGTTAAAGGCAGAAACCAGTTCCCAACCTCTGAGTCTTTTGGGAGTAAGTCAGAGCCAGACGGACACAGCCCTGGGAGGAAGCCCCCGCCACGATGGGGACGCTGAGCTTTGGGAGCCACCACCATGGATGATCACTTCTTCTCGAGGAAGGGGCTGAAAAGTCCCCAGTCGAACGCGAGCATGGCCTGGGGATTGGGCCGCTCCTTGGGCTTCTTGAAGTTATCCTTCTCGGTGCGGAGGGTCCTCAGCACCTCCACCGGGTCTGTCTTGCCCGTGAACTTCTGCAAGGGCTCCTCCCTGCAAGGAGACCGGCTCTGCTGTGACCACAGGGGACGGGACGGGGACACCCCTCCCCACTGGGACCCCAGCGCACACCAGGATGGACAATGCGGGAGTCACATCCTCGTGCCAGGCGGCTGCTGGGGCACATGGGGCTCATCTGTGGGTGCCCTGTGGCACATGGGGCTCATCTGTGGGTGCCCCGTGCTGGGCAGTGCAGGACCTCGTGTCCAGGCTCCCCCCTGTCCCTCAGGGCTTGGATCTCCCACCAACTAGTGAAGCTATGGGAGAAAGGGTGATGCTGCAGGGAAAAGGGGAGCAGAGTTTGGGGACAGGACCGACCAACCAACCCCCCACCCCGGGTTCGGGGTTGACCCACTGCAGAGCCCTTCACACCCCCAAGGCACCGGCGCTGCTTACGTGACCCGCAGGAAGGGGTTGTAGAGGAACTCCTCCTGCAGCGTGGAGGGCACCGTGGGCAAGTCCTCATCATCCCGCTGCTGCCGAGGAAGCAGAGACATCCAAAAACCTGCCAGCACCCAACACCTCCTCTGTCCCCACCCCCCAGCAGGGACACAGCCACTTACTTTGGCCCAGGCGAGTTTCTTCTTCACTATTTCATTCTCCGGTTCCACTTTTAAGGCGAATTTGAGGTTTCGGACGGTGCATTCGTGGCCACAGAACACCTTCTGCAACACCAGCAGGAAACACCCGGCGTCACTCAGCCGGGTCCCACTCAGTTGGGTCCGACCCATCCTGGTCCTGCTGCACCCCCAGCCCTGGGGACGGGTGCTGCCTCCCGAGCGGTGCCGGTCTCGAGACCCCTCCCAATTTTGGGGTCCCTCTCCAGGGTGGGGGCTGAAATGTGGGCCACTCACCGTCTCCTTCGGCAAAGCCCCCAGGATTTGGGTGAGGTTGGTGTACATCTGCTCCGCTGTCCCCTCGTAGAACTTCCCGCAGCCTCCCACAAACAGAGTGTCACCTGTGGGGATAAAGGGGTCTGGACACGGAGGGGACCCTGGTCCCGCTCCCAGGGATGGGGTGCCGGGTGGGAGCCCCCACGAGCTGGATTCACCCCGGGAGCATCAAGCTGGGGAGGGGACAGGAGGCACCCATGTCCCCGGTGCCCACGGGCAGGATGGGGTACCTGAGAAGAGAGCTGGAGCGTCTGGAGAGCCGTCCTCCCACATGAAGTAGCACATGTGGCCCGAGGTGTGGCAGGGGGTGAAGAGGCACCTCACCCGGATGGCCCCAAACTGCAGGGAGAGAGGGTCAGGACCTCACTGGGCTCCCTGATGGGCAGCCAGACCCCCCTGTAGGACCTCCCCAAGCCCGACAGCATCACCTGCCCGGGGCTCAGGATGTGCTGGTTTGGATGAGCCCCAGGTTACACGTGTCTGCTCCAATTTAGCAGCAGGGCCAGAGGGTTGGGTTCCCCAGTGCAACCCCAAACGGGCTGGGAATGGGATGGGGTTTCTCCTCCCAGAGCTCCATCCCACCCCGAATCCACGGTGCCACCTCTACAACCCTCCCAGGGCACAGGGAGCCCGAGCACGGCCCCAAACCCATTAAGCTCCCAACATGGTGGGACCACACCATCGCCCAGCTCTGCTCCCCACTGGCCCAGCACCAGCCACAGCCCCCCCGTGGGGCAGGATCCCTGCGTGGGGACCGAGCCCCGGGGTGCTCCTGCAGCCACGCACCGTCAGCTCCTGCTCGTGGGTCACCTTGTGGGTCAGGGCCCCGATCCTCTCGTCGGCACCGTACACCCGCAGGCCGGGGCACAGCCTCGCCAGCTCCTCGTTGCCCCTCGCATGGTCCCTGGGCCAGTAGAGGAGGGAATGGGCACCCGGTCCCACACGGGGCACAGCCACCCCACCAGCTTAGACCAGCAGCACTTACCAGTGGTGGTGGGTGGTGAGGACCGCTCTGAGCACCACCTCCTCCTTCCTGATGATCTCCAGCAACTGAAACGGACCCAGAGCAGAAGGAAGGGAGCTCAGGGAGAGGTGCCAGCGCAGGAGGTGTCCCCTACGGCACCGCTCAGCAGGAGGGAGGCCCAGCGGACCAGGGCAGAGAAAACAGCCCAAAACAACCACTGAGCAAGGAGAGGATGAGGGTGGGATGAAGGCTCGGTTCCCCGTGGCTGACCCCGGCGCACGGAGCGGACCAGGAGGAAGGGATCACACTGCTCCCACGGGGACGGTGGCATTTTATGGCCAGGGTGAGCACGGGGGTGCGGCACGGGCCGTGCACGGGGTCACCGGCACAGCGGGGAGATGGTGGCCGTGCCCCCCATCCCGGCCACAATGAGGGGCTGTGTGGGGCTGCCAACCCCAAGGCTCAGCTGCCAGGAGGCTCTTAACGCCAACTTAAAATCCATCGCTACTGACAAACCCTCTGGCTGCTCCTGATTACGTTCCTCAGAGAGGAAGGAAACGTCTGTGTCAACAAAAAACGCTCAAAAACCGCGACAGCGTTCCCACCATGTGCAGCACCGGAGGGTGACACAAAGGGGTCACCGGGCAGGGGGACACGGGGGGCACGGCAGCGAGGGATGACCCCGGCGCTGCCCCCCCTGCCTGCCCCCCAGCAGCACGGCCACGGGCTGCCTCCTGGCAAACAGGACTTTTCAGCCCATTTCGGGGTTATTCTCACTTGTTCTGGGGTCTGCAGGGCTTCCAGCGTGGGCATGGGGAGGGCTGGGGGTGACAATCCCCCCGCAGCCCAGGGGCACACACCCCTCCTGCTCCGTGGGGGCTGAACGGGGGTCGACCCCCCCCGGTGGGATGCTCCTCACACCGGTGGGATGCACCCCGCTGAGACCCCATAGCCAACCCCGCGTGGGGCCACCACCAGGGGCACATCCCTCGAGTGGGACCCCCACAGCCCACCCGGGACGCGGGGGGGTGCTGTGACCGCTCCGGGGGGTGGGGAGGAGGGGGGCAAAGCGCCTCTCACCCTTTTGGGGACGGCGGCGTCCACCGCGATGGCATCCCGGGTGCTCTCCTCGATGACCAGGTACATGTAGTTGTCCTCCAGGACAGAAATCACCTTCACCTTCATGATCCCTTCACCAGGGCGCGACGCGGCGGTGGAAGTGGGA